CCGTGTTTCAATACTTCAGGAGAGATCCCGTCTGCACTTGGGAGTAATTAACAGATAAAACTGCTCAAGAACACTGGGGCCATTGATGTTGGTTACATGCCATCATATCCAGTGTTTTCAACCTCAGGAGTTCCGAGTCTCCTGGCCCCCAGCCTGGGAGGCGCGCTGATCCGACTGATGCTAAGCTTGAGGATGTTTTCTTCGTGCTCCTTTTCCACGTCATTAGTTGTCCACCGCGACACTTTTTCCGATCGCTTCCGAAAAGCGCAAATAACGCTTGCCGCGGAACGCGATAGACTGGCATCCGCAATACGTGGTCGTGCCAAGACATGCGGTGTCGGATGACAACGTTTTGAAGTCTGGGACTGTTCACTCCAAACACTCCTTCACGAACCTCCGTATCGCTTATGTGATGTTGCCACCACACACGAGCCGTCCTTTGCTGACAACAGTTGTCAAAACTGACGGTCATCTCATGTTTTCGTAGCGAACAGGTTAGGTCTCACAGCCGTACAGCAGGACCGTATGAACGGAAGCATTGTACTCCTTGCCCTTGAGCTTGAGACTAACCTCACGACGACGCCATGGTTGTCTCCGTTTGATGAAAGCAAGGTGAGCTCTTGCAGTGCGCTGTGAAACCTCATCTCCAACACCACCACCAGCCGTAAGGTGACTCACTAGGTAAGTGAAGCAATCCACTTGTTCCAGAAAGTCACCAGCAATGGTGATTGCTGACGCTGGTCCCTGCAAATTCTGAAATAGCACTTTACATTTGGCTGGGATGAAATACAAGCCGTAATCGCATGCCTCAATCGCTTAGCGGTTTAAGGTGTTTTGACAGGTTTGCAGATCATCACCCAGCAAAGCGATGTCACTGGCGTAGACCAAGTCTGCGATTCGGACGCAGTTTTGGACACCTAGCGCTCGTTGCACGGTTTCTTCGATGGCAAAATTGAAGGGAAAGGTGAACTAGAGCAAACTTAGCGAACGCCGCTGGTGACAGCAAGCGAAGAGGAAACTCTGCCGTTAGCCATCATTTTGCCTGACGTGTGACTATGTAGTTCTCTCAGAATGGCGACGAACTTGGGCACACCCTTCCTTAGTAGATAATTCCATCCAGCAGCTCTGTCTGCTGAATCCAATGCCGCTCGGATGTCTAGGAATACTACGATTTTTGGTCGATGGTGGGACATTGCGGAGCTCGAGAATTTCTCGGAGCGCGAAGATTTGATCAATGCAACTTCGGCCTGGGTGGCTTGTTTTTGGGAATAACTCTGGTGGAGGAAAGCCTACGAAAAAGACGGACACAATCTTGGAAGGTTTGAAGATCCAAATTCATCCAAGCCTGAGTCCGCTGGACTAGGAACGACTCAATATGCTATCGTTAGGGTAAAAGAGCCTAATGGTGATGAGGAAATGAATCCGTTGTTTTATAAAATGCCACGAAGGAGAATAAACAGCTTGCCTACATTTCAAGCACGATGAGTGTTTCCTGCTGCGACCTGTGTAAAGCCTTTACCAACTTTTGCACTCTTATGAACAAGCATGATAAGCTCTGCCATTTCATTGTTTCTGAGCGGTCAGACATATTGTGACTCGCAGAGATATGGCTGAACTTTGAGGTACTCACTCAGGAAATCGAGCTCATTTTCTGCACGTGCATCCGCTGCGACAGACTATCAACTGCCCGCAGTTATGCCTTGATCTAACCCGATCTTTGTTTGAGGACTTATGGACGCCTGCTGAATCGACAACGGACATTTTTAGCACCTGTGGTGCTCGATCTACCTCAGGCACGGATAGTGCATTTTATCGTAGTCTTTTAAGCCGGTGTTTGGATTGGCTGCCGCATCTTTGAACTCGCATGAGTCGTACCTATTTTCTACTCATGGGTGATTTCTATTATCCTCCAGTTTGCTGGCCTAAAGTGCAACTCGTGTTGCGATATTGTGAGGTCCAGGCAAAGCTCCTGGAAAAATGTTTCCGGATATTGGTAGCTCGATTTGACCATCCGACTGTTCATTTATTAACCGAGCTTGACAATTTGGTTGCATCCTTATCGCCCCTATGCGAGTTGGCTCCGCCAGTGCAGTGCTGTGCATATCAGCACTCCAGCCAAGCCTCCAGCATGGAGCGCGCATCAGCGTTCGTGGCACACTTTTCTCCTGTTTTGCAAGTGTCTGTACCGAGTTCAATGTGTACCGCGCTCACCGAACCCGACAGTCTTGACTGCGGCGTCGAAAAGGTGCGTCAACTCTTCGCCAACCTTGACGGCACTAAACCTGATGGGCATGACTCACTCCGCCCACTGATTCTGAAGTCCCTACCGGCCATCATTTCACCTCTGTGACTGATTCAGCATGTCGGTGGCTAAAGGTCCATTGTTGAGCTACTGTAAATGTTCAGTAGTAGGGCTTATTCCAATAGGCGGTGACCTCAACAAAGTGAACAGTTACAGGCCAGTTCGTCTGATATATGTTTGACCAAGGTTGCCTAGAAGATCGTGAAGAAGGGTTTACTCCAGCTGCTGGCGTTTATGATAGGCAACTCATGCATTACCAATTTGCTCGTGACGAGGCGTGAATGGCTACAGGCAGTGACCAAGGGAGGTCTGTCGACGTGATCTAACTTGATTTCAGTAACGTTTTGACGAAGGGGAACCACGAGATCCTACTCTATAAGCTGAGTGTTCGGTGTTATTGGATTATTGCATCAATGGGTCCGGAAGGTTCTTGTAAGACAAAAGTGGAGAGTACAGGTCGACGGCCGTTTGACTGGCTGATATCCCTCGACCAGTGGCGTGTCTCTGAGCATAATTCTGAGCCTACTTTGTTCCTTATCTATATCGGGGTTCTAAATCAACTTCTCTGGTCGCCGTGTGCTCTTTTTACGGACGACTTAAAACTTGAAAAATGATTAGCACCCCTACAATTTCGGCATACTTTGGCTAAATCACGACCGTTTTTCCATGTGGTCTGCAATATCCGCCTCTCGGTCAGCTAGTCAAGTCAGTATTCATGAATCTGGTGAAGAGTGGTGACGGCCGATCCTACACCTTCGATGGTTAATTGCTACACTTCGCACCTTTCGTTAATCGCATAGGTGTACTCTTAAGTTGCAATTTAAAGTCCACGAGCAGCGCGAACGGGATGCACCGAAACAGACTGCGCATGTTTTGGGCGCTCATACGCAGCTTTCCTACTCGGTCTGAAGATGTCACCACTCGCGGCTTCTCCTCTGCTTGAGTACGGCTCGCCGACGATGTACAGAAGATCGAACGATTCCAACATGTCACTGTCACGACCATCCTGAGTACGAAGACTGGTGCGAAAACGAGGGCTCTATACCTTATCCTATCGTCGGTTGCGAGTCGGTATAATCGTGACCTACCGCATATTACACCCCTGAGACTTCCTCATGTTGAGACCGTTGCCATATTTGCGAGCGCCATGCAACACACTCGGACACCGATACAGGCTCTTGATGCCGGATATAAAGCGAGCTTCCCTCCTCTTATGCTCCGAGTGGAAGACGGTAAATGTTTGGAACAGTCTGTCAGAACATGTCATCGAGCTCAAATCTGCAGCAGTTCAACACTTTGTTTTGTTTACATTTCACGACTATTTGGTTCAGATAATGATTGCACACTGACAGTAACGTCTCACATTTGTGAGTTCTGTGGTACTGTGAGTCAGACATCTTTATATGTTGTATAGGAGCTTGAAGAATGATAAGAGTAGTAACAGCTGACAGATGTATTTTCTTGCATTTTCGATCATAGTAAATATAATATAATGTGCTAGCTGTACGCCGAAATGGCGCTTCGCTGCCGCGTGACCACCACCAGTCGCGCGCGGGCTAAGTATACCGCGAAGACGCTCACTCCTACGCAGATTCTAACCGGTGACCTTATGGTTGCAAGCCAGACGCGCAAACCACTCTACAGCCGGACTATCATATTCCAATGGAGTTTAAATTCCGACTTGTTCTCATCGTACAGTATTCAGTATTCAATCCACCTTATCCCTTCCCGCCCCTTTACTTTGTGTCTGGACGCTACACACGACCGATTGTCGTTTGCTACAGACATTAGTGGCATTGCTATTCGGTTCCGAATTCCGGACCTGTGGGCACAGCAGAAATTTGCACAGGCCCTCAGTCTACTTTGGCCGCAGGCCACCACGTTTAACAATGGTGATTACGCCACTCCACCTACCTAACATTGACTACATTGATTACATGGCCCTATTGATTATTTCGATCCGGTGACTAGCACGTTTACTCACCTTTCTGTAAGTAGTAATGGGATTTATTGGAGAGATTCGTCTCAATTATACTCAGGCGGACAGCCACCACACATCCAGGAAAGCGCTAGACGGTCATTTCGTCCTTTTGAGACTGGTCAATAGCGTGCAACCGCCGAATCCTGCCAGATTCGAACCCACGGCCTTACTCATGCGAGCCAGCGACCTACGCCGCTGAGCTAGGGGCGCAGACAGCGGACCGTCATGACATACCTAACTGCAATATAACGCAGCTCATCCTCCACCGTCATGCATGTTATGAACGTGCAGAGAACAGGGCTGGTCCCCAGGCCAATAACTTCCCTTGCAAGCCGCCACCAATTGAGGTGACACGTAAGCTGCTAAGGCGACTACTAATTATTTGTAAGTAGCGTGGCAGGTGTCTGCCTGAGTCTAACTGCGATGAATCCTCACAAAATCCTCACGTTTCTGTTTCTGCCTCCTTAGTGGTGCTTGCGTTATTATGATGACGAACCACTAAAAACATTCCTGTTCGTAAGTACTGACTTCTAATATCTTTTCCGGGAATTATAAGTCAACTGGACTCTTACCTTAATCTGCTTTTCCCGTTCGGTAACAAATGCTCTCCCCTTGTCCTGCTGCTGCAACCGAAGCTTTTTCGGCCCACTAGCGGAGTCGTTCCTGCGCACTTCCGATATTTTTGTTTTCCTTTTTCATTTACCTACATTATCACAGTTCTTCGCGGGGGCGAGTGGGTTGAGACGCTGTGGAAGGAGCTGCAAGTCGGCGATTTAGTTAAAGTGTGCGACAATCAGTTAATCCCGGCGGATTTGATTCTCCTGGCCTCAAGTGAACCGCAGGCAATGTGTTATATAGAAACGAGCAACTTGGATGGGGAGACTAACTTGAAGCTTCGTCAGGTAAGTCAACCAACCATCCTATGGTTCCTTTCACTTATTTAACTCGTGCCAAGTCTTCTGAGGGCATCCATTTGGCACATATGCTCGTTTTAAACGTTACAAAAATTCAAACCTCCTATCTGCGTTCTGTCTCGTTGATCGAGCTCCACTTTGCTACTGGGCGTGATCTCTTCTACACCCGCATTTTTCAGGGGTTAGCACAAACATCACATCTTCTTACGGCAGGCGCTTTGGCCACTTATCAGGGCTGGGTTGATTGTGAGAAGCCCAATAGGAAATTGGAACAGTTCGTTGGCACGCTTAGGGGTCCAGATATGATGTAAGTCTTCTACCTTGTTAAGTCATGATACCTTTTGATTTCCGTGAAGTTTCTGCTTGTCTTTGTCATGTATCATTTTACCTTTGCAGTCGATATCCGTTAAAGCCAAATCAGGTCCTTCTTAGGGGATCGTCTCTGAAAAATACAAAGTGGATTTTCGGTACGTTTTTTTAATACTCGCGTAATCTGAACCTTGTTTTGTCGTCTATATTTTGAAACATCCTTATCCTTTACGAATAACTACACTTCTCTAATGGTTATAGTACTGTGCATCACACCAGTTAGAAGCGCGCTAGCTGCCATTAACTTCACTGTGCATTCCGTCACTAGACATACTCTTCCTTCCTTTGTCTCCGTCATGAACACCTCTCGCATTCTGCTCAACTGTTCAGATCATCTATGATGCCAACGAGATGTTCAGTACATTTCTAGGATGGGCTCCTGTGACTAATACCGAAGGAGTCGGTCTTGAGTACTTCTCATATGCAGAATGATCGAACGGAATGCTGTTTCAAGGTAAACTCAAGTTGGAACGGAAGCAAAATCAAATGGCAGCAGTGTGACTCATCACTACTGGAGCTCCATTTTATGACGTTCTCTTCGGTTGCATTTGGCTCTGCTGAGACCGGACATGGACTAATACTACCACCATCTTTTTATCAACTATGCGTTAATGGGTTGTTGTTGTTGTTGTTGTTGTTGTTTACCGCGTATTTTTATCGTGTCGAGTATCAGATTTGAGAAGTGAACGTCGGCAAGAGAAACTCAGTAAGGCTAATAACTCATGGGGCTCCGCAGACATTTAGCCCACACTGTCGTCTAGCCACCTCACCTGTATCTTGCACTGTTCATTATCTAGTGGAATCTTGGTTGTTTTAGGAGAACACCTCCATTCACTTAAACAGTCAATTCCATCTAGGCTACGTTCTAGCGTATTTTATACGAAAGTACCATACAACTCTGCAAATTCGGATTTCTCTTGCAATTAAACCCATTTCCTATCCCTTTCTCCTCTCTCTATCGCTAGGGTTGGTAATATACACCGGCAAAGAATCCAAGGTGATGTTGAATTCCACGTCTCCACCTCTCAAACGATCCACGGTTGAACAACAAACCAACAATTATGTGCGTTCCTTTCGCCCTTACTCTGCTCCCGTTTCTCACAACCGTTAACGCAATATCACCATTTGTTTTCAGATCCTTTTCCTTTTCGGGGTCCTTCTTTTCCTCACCTTGTTCACTTTCACCGCAAATATAATCTGGAAGCGCCGAGTGGAACATAAAATGTGGTACCTAGATAGCGCCGGTAAGTTTTGTTCGCTTGTTTGTACTGTTTTTCATCAGCTTCCCATTGATCTCATCTTTCGTCTCGGGGACACTTGCGAACTTTCATCGGGATCCATTAAGTTGCGTGTGATAATTTCATTTCCAGAAATGCGAGACAGCGTTCTGTGGCACTATTACAATCAGAAGTACAGGCAGCTGAATCAAGTCACGAAGGTCTCCGCTCTCAGTGAACAACGCAATCGAGACCCGATAGCTAACCACTATTCCACGCTTTATCTCTATCATTTCTCTGACAGCCTAAGGAGCGAAAGGCCTGGTCGCCCACACAACTAGGCAAAATGATAGGTTAGGTTATGGAGTTGAACATATCATGTTGCTTTACCAGTGGAAATGGGAAAGGACTCCAAAGGGAACGTACCGACTCCTAAATCATTCATGCGACTAAATTCATTGCGTCACGGAGTTGGCAATAGTCTTATTTTGGTCATTGCCAACGACAGTTGGGTTTAAGGACCACCCATTTATGGGTGTGACGATGCAGACTTTCTGATGTCTTCCAGTCGATGTTCAGCAACGGCCAGTAGCCTTAAGGATCACAAACCCGTCTTGTAATCCGAGGACGCGGATTCGAGCCCGCCTAGGGGACCGGGCGACCCTCGCGGTATCCTTAGCTCACGTGCAACTGGTGGTGGTTGCGCGGCAGCGTAGCGTCGATACTGCGTACCGGCGTAAGGACCGTACTGTATCACACCGTGGCAGCTATTGCGTTTTTCATGTAATTGCAGTCCACCTGCTTATATGTGCTTTGTTTGGCCATCCTCATTCTGGTTGATGAAGCTGCCTTGTGTTCTGGCAATATGTCAGAGTAAAATAAGGTGTGCGATCGAAAGAACTGATTAGCAGATGCGTACCGCATTTTGGGGCGGGGATCACAATTGTAGTCTGTAATTCTTGCCACTGCAGCACACTCGGGAATTCAGCGACCTTTGTTAATCCATCTTCACATTGTCCCTAGTTTTACCACATCTTTTCCGACATTTTCCTTCGTTAAGATTTTCTCTCTTCGTTGTTAATTTTCGTTATTACGATTGCGGAATCAACCGAATCCGCGCACCTCGGGTTTCGCGTTGAGTTGGACCAGGCTTAATCTTGGTGACTTTCTCACTGTTGTGCAACCTATGTCCATTATCTTCATTGGCTCGCCCATTGCAATGAGGCTGGACCTTACCGTGGTGCGATGGTTTGTGTGCCTCAGCGATCCATTGAGCTATGCTGGGTGGTGCTTTTTTGCACCTTCAGAGCCACTCATACAACTTTGGTCAATGGTTAGAGGCCAGACAAACTCAGCCTCCTGGTCCTTCAGGTTCTGGTTTGGAATGAGGGTGGCACCTTATTCCTTATAACCGAATTCTTGTAGCCCAACGCCAAACCCGCTGCCTTGCGGTAAGATTTTCGAACCAAAGGCTTTGGTTGAGAACCCTAATCGTTCTCCTGTCTAGGCCTGAGCAACCTGACAGTATCCTGCCCACGCAATACTATGAATTTCTCTTCAAACAGTTTCTTGATGCTCTGGCCACCACACAGGATAATCGGCGGTGCCCTATCTGCTGCATCGAGCAGGGTGGATAGGGGTTTGAATGCTACTGCTCAAGCCTTCCCGTCTTCTTATTCCCCCTCTTACGCTTTTTCACTCTTACCGTCCCGTTCTAACTTCACTTTTATCCCCCCTGTTTTCAACCCCCCGATTCTTGGCCCTCCCCCAACATGCTTTGCTAGGCGTTTATCTTCTACTTTCAACTCACATGCTAACGCGTAGCGTCACTCCTCTCCTGTCGACAAGCCCATGCCCAACCAAGCGGTCCATTCCAGTTCATCGGCTTCCATTTGGAGCCCTCGATCCTCCTTCAGATTGGCATGCCTCAATGTACGCACATTACTGCAGATCGGTCAACAGGCAACACTTGCCCGAACATCGGAGACCCTCTCGATCGATATCTGCTGCTTATCAGAGACCGGCCTGAAAGACTCGAGCTCTGTGCTCACTCTGCGATCCCTTCAGGTGACGCAAGCAGTATTTTCTCATTGTGCCTATCCGGTGACGATGCAGCTTCGAGCACCGGCCAAGCTGGTGTTGGGATTGCCCTGAGTCCCCGGGCTGAAGCTGCTCTGGTTGATTGGATTCCACTCAGTAGCTGGATGTATGCGGTCCGATTGGCTGGCTCGTTCAAAGCTTCGAAGTCGCGCGGAACTAATAGGTGTCTATTCATCATCGCTGCCTACGCGCCCACAAACTGTAGCGATGATTCGGTAAAGAACGACTTCTACCGCCAACTGACCTAGCTCCTTCGCCACAGAAGAAGCGCGGACACTGTTGTGCTGGCGGGGGATCTGAACGCACAAGTTGGAAAGTTGTCCACTGATGAAATGCATCTGGGCGGTCAGCACGATGTAGGCTCTCGTAATGATAACGGTGAGCGGTTACTTCATTTGTGTAAAGATGCTTGCTTATTTCTTACGGGCACTAACTTCCGACACAGCACCCGCCGGAGGGTGACTTGGCGCCCACCAGCCTCGAACCAGCTATGGACGCAAATCGATCACATTGCAATAAGTTACCGCTGGAGAGGCTGCATCCAGAACTGTCGCTCGATTTGGAGCACAGGTGTGGACACCGATCATGCACTTGTATGTGCTGGCATGCAGATGCGTTTTGGCGGACGCCCACGACGACGCTGTGAGCGCATTCACACCAGCCAACTGACAAAGCCAACTGTTCTGAATGCGTATCGAATACGCTGACATGCGAGTTGAGTAAGGGCTCACTGGAGACAATTGATGGTCACTAGTCACATGTTCGCCAGACCTTACTAGCAGCAGGCAAATCCTCATGTGGTATGTCTAATAGCCAACATGGATATTGGGTCTCTTCGCGGTCCCTGGAACTTATCGACGTTTGTCGGCATATCCCTGCTGAAAACGAACACAATGAAACTCGCAAAGACCTCCGGGCAAGACTCCGTGCTAGCCTGGTCTCATCGTGCGTCAGAGATGGAAGTGGCCGCTGCCCTTGGCAACCATCGTAAGTTGTTCCGTCTGATACGGGAAACGGGCAGCATGAGACCTGGTGTTAGTGAAACTATACGTGACGAGAGTGGACAGCCTATTCACAATTTGTCAAAACTTTTGGAGCGTTAACACTGCCTCGCAGTTAATATGTGCTATGTCTCCGAACCACACGTACAGCACAACTGCGCTGTACTTGATCTACGCTTACTTAACTCGAGTTCAAATTGTAGTGCTTCTACATTCCGCTTCTCCGGCTATGCGGAGTATATAGCTTGCCGTATTTACGTTTTTGGAATCGCTCTCATAAACATACACAGGCTTGACCCCTAGCTTGAACCCAAGGAAACGACCACACATGTGCCTTTTGAAGCTTCACTGTAGTCAACAAGCAGTGACCTATTGTAAGATGCCTTCTTGTAGTTTCAACTTATGTTTTTGCTGTCTTCCATCTGAATGATTTCTACCAGTAGCACTTTTCTCTACTCGAAATGGCCAGATCTAATATTAAGGGCTGCTGGCGACATGAATGTTGAATTCAGTCGACTGTCAGGGTGTTAGAATTTCGTTTCAAAGGTTTGGCATCTTTATGCTAGGACCTTGTGAGAGATGCCTGTGTTGAATTTCTTCAGTGCTTATGCGTCATCTTCACTGCCACAAGCCTTTGGCGTCCACAGCTGGCAAACAAACCCACGTTAACCCATTTTACCTGTACCTCCTGCTCATTCGCTTTCAGGAGGAAGACCCCGAGATCGTATATTTCGCGGAAGCTTGTCCGTTTCTCTTATTTTTGTCGGCAGACGACATGGTCATGACTGACTCTCTTCTACCTCCTACTTCTTTTGAAATAGCGGTTCTACTAACTGACCGGCAGAGATAGCTTTTTTGTATCGGGCTACTTTACAAGCTCCACTTAATTATGTGACATGTGTGGCTGCGCGCTTCAGCATGTGCTTTGCATCTTAAAAGGGCAAATACCGTGGAGTATTGGGCCGACATGCCACCAGTTTTCAATCACTAGATGACCATTCGAGATTGCTAGCCGATTTACTTTTCTAAGTAGCTGTATCACCTCTGATTGGTTCGCGACCGATCAGATTACCTCACGTACTACTGAAACTCGCGTGGCTCTTCAAAGTCTACGTATTTGCGCAAGCTGCGGGTTGTACACCTATTGGTTAAGTGAAGTGTTTACAGCACTGCAATACGACCTAGGTTGGATTTTGATTTTAAAGACCCGCCCGCCGCCGTGCTCGCCAATAGATGCATCACGCAGATTTTATTGATCGAGTAAATGATTTTAACGACTTTACTCTTCTGGCAAAGGATGTTTTGCTTGCATTCCTTTTTTTATTAATTTTGTCATCCCATCTTCGTTGGTCATAGCAACCGAGTCCACCGTATTTCGATGCCCCTGTCATGGTTAAAGTTAACTGGAATTTATCTACTTACATCAGAATGTAGGCCTGTCTAACTCAATTTATTTTCTATCGTCAATAAATCACCACAGTCATGCCATCGTATGCATTGTTATTTGATCTCCAGTTTGGCTACGGTTCCACGATCATCGTGGGCGTCGCCTGCGCTGCGTTTCATTTTTATCGGCATATTCGGGGGAAATACTATCATACACATGCGACCTTGTTCCTGGTGTCAGATGCTTGGTCGGATCTTATTCTGTTGTTTGTGCTCCACTTCATCCCCTTTGGAATAGGCATGTCTCTAGTGTGGGCTCCCAATGTATGAAATCACAACAGTCTAGCAACTAAACATAGGGCCGATAGAAATCATGGAGATTAGCGGATAAGGTGAAATCATCGTGACATAGTAGTTGTAGGGGAGCAACGCACTTCAGCTACTATGCCGCAAAAGGAAAGGAACATTTTGACAAAAGGTAGAACAAAACATTTTTAGTTTGTTTTTCACGTGACGATTTTTCTTTTTTGTCATTTCCAA